CACACCACAGCAAAATCACTGTGACCCAAGAGACAGCTGCCACAAAACCACAATGCTTCTACAGTGGGCAGAAAACTGAAGTCCTTGAGACTGAACAGGATGCATCCTTGACATTTTGTAGGTGACACAGAAAGCAGATTAAGTATCTCATGTGTGGGTTTTTTCTTTTTAATTTTCATTTCAATGACTTATAAACAAAATCTGGTTTGTTGTTTTTCTTTTCTGATAACCACAGAATGGTTTGGTTTGGAAGGGACCTTCAAGATCACCTGGCTCCAAAAACCATCACAGTAATCATTAAAGAAGTTCTAATTTCAATTTTTTTTACAGTCAATAAAGGCCATTATAAATGACATTATTTTCAGGAAGAAATCTAGTTTCAAACTCACAATCAGTTGAGTATTTGTGGAGAATACATATGGTATAGTTATTATACAAGGATATATGGATAATTCCTGTGTAAACATCAATGTCAGTAAGATCTCAAATGTTTTCGTTTGAAGTCATAATGTGACTCTGAGAATCACTGACTCATGTCCAGAACTTTAACCAAATGGATCTCATCTGCCTTTTGGTGAGCAGTGCAGCAACAAACGGTAAAAACATTTTCTGACATGGAGGAAGGAAAGACAATGAAAAATTGGCTACAATATTAATCTGTTCAAAAAAAGACCTATTGAATATTTGAATCATAGAATCCTAGAAGGTCCTAGATCATCCAGTCTCACCCTGTGCCATGGGCAGGGACACCTTCCACTAACCCAAGTTGCTCCAAGCCCTGTCCAACCTGACCTTGTACACTTCCAGGGATGGGGCAGCCACAGCTTCTCTGGGCAACCTGTGCCAGGGTCTCACCACCCTCACAGCCAAGAATTTCTTCCCAATATCCCATTAAAATCTACTCATTTTCCAAACTATCTAATATAAAATTATTTTAAACTGTCCAATATAAAGTTATCTAGAATGGTGATAAGTAGAACCATTCTAACTTCCATCACAAATAGTTATGGAAAAACAAACCCATAAAAATTTGATATTATGAATATCAAAGTGAAATTAAACCGGTACAAGGTAAACCCCAGGATTTTAATAATATTATGTCCAGTCTTTTAAAATGATAATCCAGTGAATTTTTAAATAGAAGCATATTTAGAAAAAGAAAAAGCACTTTTTTTGCCAAAACTGTGGCTATTTTATAACATTTTTATAATATAAATTCAATTTTTTATTTGTTTTTGCTTGTTGGTTTGTTTGGTTTTTTTTAAACTCACCATGTCCCAGGAAGAAAGTTATTTCTGAGGAACCAATAATTTTATGAGAAATACCCTCATAAGAATAATTCATAAGAATCAAAGCCTCTGTTCAGTAAGTCAGCTTTGAAGTACCTATTGACCAAAGTAATTTATAACTACTTTTAATTTTTCATCTTTTTCAATGTATTTTTCTTTCTCCAAACCATAGGTTTTTTTATTCTGCAAGTAGGTTCCAAGAGAAACACTAAGACAATACACTGTGGTGCCCTTCTTTAAAAGGCTTCTTAAAGACAAGAAATCCAGGGAAAAAGCAAAACAATAAAGAAACCCAGAGTTTTTCCTAACAGAAACAAACAAAACACATAACTTTTAAGTAATTTTGATTTCAGATATTGGTTAATATCATGCTCCTAGAGTAAGGAGAGTGGGCACTTAAAATTTTTAGACATCTATTTTTCACAACTTTGATAACTCTCAAGTGTTATGTCTGGTACAACTTTTATCCTGAAACTTCTGGTACTGTGCTTTTCCATTCTAATTCCTTTCTGAAATTCCTTTAATTTTCTTTTCTGAATTAGACTTCATTCTAGAGATTTTTCCAGTTGAAGTCTCAAGGCATTTTCAGCTTTTGTTGGGTTTCAAAAGGGATTGTCTATTATCCCTTGTTATTTCCTTATTCAGGAAAGACATGCTATAGTAACTTTTATATAAAAGTTGAAATTCTAAATAAAAAGGGAACAGATTAAATATCACAGGGAATTGTAGAAGAGTCATATTATTTTTAAAGGGAAAAAATAAACTGGTTGGAGATATTCAATGCAGCTGTCCATACACATACATACACCTACATACTGTGCCACAAGGTCTTTGTAGGGATTATTTTTAAGTAATGTCTTCAAAAAAGAAGTTTCTGTTATATATTGAATCCTTAACCTCTACAACAACTAAATTAATTGAAAACAATATTAAACTCACACTGTAAAAGACTGCAATGGAAAAAGATGTCTAGACCAATGCTTATGCAGAAGAAATACTAAGGAAAACCTTGTTGAAACTGTGAGGATCATCTGAAAAGCTCCTCTGTTTATCTTTTGTTAAAAAGCATCTTGGATGAAACACATTTGATGGGTTATAATTACAGTTAATTAGACTGAAGCATTCTGATGGAAATATCCTGTGAAATATCATTTCTATAAAGAGAGAAACACAGGGCATTTAATATTACAGGATTAGTGACCTTCAATAGTAACCTTCAATAGTAAACTTCAATCTAGTGCCTGCAACACAGAGTAAAATTTTAGTAACTTCACTTCGACAAGATTCCTCCTGGATGATGTTGTCAGAGCAGCTGGACACCATCCAAAAGAGCAGAGTATGGAAAATAACATTGTTCTACCCCTCTGATCAAACAGGAAAAGTAATTCTAGTTTTGATCCTGATGACAGGTCAATTAAAAGTTTATAATATTCATAAGATGCAGAAATAATATTCATAGTCTTCATAAAGCTATTAGCTGCAATTTGTCCCATCTCATGTTCTGTCATAAGTAAAGGCATTGTTTGGAAAAATATGTGTATGAATAATACTCAGATACATTTCAGAAACTGGAGGAAACTTTCTGCTCTTTTTTTAAAATTTCTTTTGGAAAAAAGCAAAATCTAGTATTTGATAGAACGGCCTGTACCAGGTACATCCCCCTGAAATTACTGTGGAAGTCTCTAGGTAAGTGCATGAGGCTTTGGATGCAGTTTTTATTTATTTTTCAGCATACCTACAAATTCCAGACTGCATGGCTGCCTTTCTACTCTGAGGAAGAGGAATGTGCTTTAAGCAGAACACACAGTTTTGTAAATGTCAATACAAATTGAGAAGTTGTGTTAAAACAATCCTGTAAGAATGCACTGACCTGTTACTTTCAACTCAGCAACATCTAATAGCAAAATCAATAGAAACTATAAATTATTAAGCATCTGAAGAGCTAGTACTGTTTCTAAAATTTTAAGACAGAAATTAATATTAGGTTGTACTTTATTCATAAATTTATCTCCTAGAATAGATGATATCTGTAGTGGAATCCAAGTGGCTGTCTTAAGAATTCCACTTCCCTCCATTTACCCATTTTCAGCTGATCTGTCTGGTTAGCTTGGTCAGCCCACAGTTATGGGCTTTCAGAAAAACATCACTGATGTTCAAAATGCAGAGACTGAGGCCATGCCTTCGTGAGATGATCCACTGATCACAACTGAAATGATGGCTTTACAACACACAACCATAGCAACTCTAAGAAGTATGTGCATTTAAATCACCTCCATAAAGGAAAAAAGGCTGGGTTTTTTTGCTCTTTCCTGTGTAAAAACATCTCCTTTTTTGACCGGCACTTCTATTGAACGGCTGCAATAGGTTTCTACTCAGATATTTTCCATAGAAATTTCAAGACTGACAGATCTCTCAAGAAATGTACAGTTGAAAGTTGATGCTCAGAAATTATAATGTGTGGTCCATGGGGTTGTGTTAGTGCTCCTCAGTTCTTCCCCAAATTCTCCCTTTCCCTGTTTCACAGCGTTTTTTTTCTCATCTCAATCATGGTTCCTGCTCATTCCTCTGCTACACTTGTGTTAAAAGCTCTCTTTTGCTTCTTTCTGTATTCAGTGCTAATCTTCACTATTCTCCCTCTCTCATATTCTACTCTTCGCTTTGCTCTCTGTCCTTTATTATTCTCTGCTCTACCCTAATTATTTATATTGCTCCCCCATTGTAGCTTAGCATGTAAACAATGTTCAGTCCTTCCTTGCCATCTTCGTCTCCTCATTCACTTGTCTTACTTTTTCTCTTTTGGCCCTCTGGGGGCCTTTCCTTCTTTTAACAAGCCACTGTAAAGTGATTCCCCATTTATTTGATGTTTTAACTCACCGAGTTTGTACAGTTAAGCTGCTCAGTGGCATTCTTGTTTGGTGCATTGTCTTCTTTTTTCCTTTAAATACTCCCCAGCTAATGGATTGCCAATTAATTAGAAATAGTAAATCTTCACTCTAGAATAAACACTACATGTTTGTGAGTCTTGAGGAGCTCCTAAACTAATTTTTATGGCTTTGATGGTAACCATTCCCACTCCTTGGCAGCTTGTCAATGGAAATAAAAGTTCTCTGAGCAGATACCCAAGCCATCATTTGGAGAATGTTTTCTTTGAGCAGGATGCTCCTGCATCTGCTGTCCTTCTCCTCCCTCACTGTTTTTTTCCCTATTATCTTTTAAGGATGTCAGTTTTGAGGGGTCATGCAGATGGTTGAGTTTCCCCAGGATAAAGACAGGTGAAAAACTAACGCTAGAAAATAAAACAAAAAATGCCAAACAAAAAAACCCCAACCCACCAACCAATCAAACAAGAAAAACCCACAAGCAAAACAAAACAAAAAACCTGCTTGGTTTTTTTTTTTTTAATTCCTGATTGCCTTTGACCTGTTTTGCTCTCTGAAGCCCAGCGAATATGCCATCTTAACCAAAGAAGAGACAAAAAGGAAGGAAGTTGAAAAGATTTTTAATGGCTACTGGAGGAGAATATCTCCTGCTCTTCTCAAATTGAGGGGAAAAAAGACAAAAGGAAGTGGGACCAGACAGAAAAAGAAAGAACCCAAATCTGATATGTCTATTAAGCGTGTTATACATGAAGTAAACCTGTTCAAAATGGTTTACAAGGTGCTTCTCAAGAAATGTTTACTGTGAGCCAGATGTAATATAAATTATTCATACCTGATGAGGTTGGTTCCTCTTCAATTGAGGCTGTGCAGAAAGGCATCAGGGATGGAAAGGGTGGCAGGGACAAGGAAGGGGAAGGGAAGAGACAGGAAGAAAAGAGAGAGAGAGAGAAATACAAATGAAGAAATCCTATAGTTTTAATTGTTATATTATTTACATTTTTTAATATAAGTAGGTATTATAAAAAAATTTATTCTCTCCATTCCACACCCCTTCTGTTCCCTTCAGGTCCTTGGCAACCACGATGGGGTGGTGACAGCAATGAATTACTGATTCTGAAATTGAGTAGTTAGGGAGCAAAAGCGGCAGTTTTGAGGTGGGTGTGTGTGTGTCAGGGACACAGTTACCCACTGGACTCTCCATTCTAGCTGTCTGGGGAAAGTGATAAAAATCCATATCTTCACCTTTCCCTCTTATGGATAGATAACTATCTATAACCAGCACATTCAAAAGAAGGGAACAAGCACGTTCACAGTAAAACTGCATTTTAAAAGTAGGTCAGTGACTGAGTTCTTTTCCTTCCTGTAGTCAGGATGTTTTGTGTACACATGCATCACAAAAACATTCTTTTCACAGTCTTGCAAATTTCTCTGTGACAACAAAAGCCACGTTCAAGTGTTTCTCACTTGGATACTGTGAGAGAACCTGGAGGTGAGACAACTCTCCATAGATAAGATATAGAGGCTGAGATATTAAACACATGCATCCATACTTTTATTTTTTCTTCTCTTTTAACAAACACCTTGTACCAGTGGCAATGGAAGCTCCTTCTCCTTGATTTCTTGCAGAATCAGTTCAAACCATACTCCCACAGCCATGACAAACACTGACCCATCCTGACAGCCCTCAAGCTTGCACTTGGCATGGATAAAGATTTCAAACATTTTCTCAAAGACCAGCACAATGCTTGGTAAACTCATTTATTTTCCTTCACTGTCACCCCCATCTATTTTGCAGAGAGGAACCAGGACAGGATCAGGAAGACCTTCCCTCTTTTTAGTGAGAATTTGTCAACTGTGTTTGAGGCCAGCAATAAATCTTGGTTAATTCAGTACAATATTCTATAAATGCAACTGTATGAGGTGACTAACACTGAACACATCAGTTATTCCTAATGCAGAGTAGTATGGTGTCCTTTTGTGGACTGTCAAGTCTAATCAAGACAAAATCATGAATTACTGTCTAAAGCACCAGCCAAGCATCTTGTCTCTAGCTGAGACAAATAGGTGATTTTTATTTCTAAAGCTTGGTGTTCAGATAAACCATGAAGAAGGGTACACAACAACACAGCATTATGAAGTACATAATCTAAAATGCCTTAAACAGGACGCTTAGCTAAGTCTTCGCTTTTGTAACTCCTTATTTAATGTTTGAATGTGTATTCGGAAACTAGATTAATCCGTTATGCAGTGTATGTAAAGATCGCATTAAGCTTTCAGCAAGTTTTTTTTTACTGTGTAACTGCTGAATTTAAGTAAAATCTGTTTGTGGTAGTAGAGTTTCAAGACAATTCAAGAAAGAAGGAAAAATACTGTCCTACTGTTTTTAAATAAAACCAATCAGATAATCTTTAATTCAACAACATGACAACCGATTACACAGACACAGAACAAACAAACAAAAAACCTCCACACCTGAATATTTGAATCTCAGAACAACAGAATCTGAAGTAAATAAATAACAGAATTCGATTGCAGCCAACTCCCTGCCCGTGGTTCTTCAGATTAATCTTGGCCACGCTGTTCCTCTTGGCAGGAGGAAAGAGTGACCAAGTTCCTTCTCTGGGTTCCAGGGCAAAAAGTCCTTTATTCGGAAGTCCCACAGTTTATATCGTCTTGGGGGGAGGGCTAGAAGGAGGAATGTGATTGGGCCACGGTCCGGGGGAAAGGGAGTGACTTGAGGGCTCCACTAAGCAATAGGGGAAACAGGAAGGACCGAGGTCCCATAATAAGCTCAGGATTGGGGAGACGGCCAATCCTGTTTGAGCAGAGGCAGGGCTGTATTTGGGGAGAGGAGACAATATGGTTCCAAGTGGGGGAGGGGGCCACGCGGAACAGGGAAATACATAACTCAGGGAAAGACCATACAATAAAACACAAGTAGTGGTTGTTTTTCTGCTTTGCTCGGTCCCAGGGAGCTGCCACTGTGATGGACCCTAAAGTCGCTCTTTTCAGGTTTTGTAATCCTGGCGTTCACCCACAAATAAACAAACTACAAACTAAGTAAATAAAGTAGGTTGTAATTTGTCAAGGTGCCACTGGAAGGGAGGACTACACAAACAGAACAGAACAGAACATGAAAGTTGGAAGTTCCATAATTAAATTTTACAAATGCTCCAAATCTGTATTAGCTGCAAGCTCTACTGCTGCTTGAACAGCAAATAATTCAAACTACTAGAGACTGTGTATTAAAACTGGTTAAACAAAACTGCCTAATTATACAAAGAATATTCATTCCAGGAACCATTTTCTTCAGACCACTATTTGAATAATATTCTTAGACTTAATTTTCGGGATGAAAACCAGCATTAGCAATTCAAAGCTGAATTCTGTTACTACTGTGATGGTTGTTTCAGAGGGACCACTCTGTGATTAGGTACACATCTAAATAAAACAGTATAGTTCAATCTCAGCTGAATAAATTGCTCAGATGCTAAGACAGCTAAGCAAATAATGTCACTTTTCTTTTTATTTAATTAATATTGGCTATTTGATTGTTGGTTTGAGGTCTTTCAGGAATAGGTTATGTTCTTTTCTTGTCTGAGCTGCTGAGAACTGCTTTTGCAAAAGCCCTAGTTCTCTTGTCAATATTGTATTTCTTAACTCCAGACAGAAATTAAATATGGATATCAAAATCAGATATGAAAACGCAGTTATGAACTTGTTCATACTTCATACAAACTTTTATAAAAAATCAAATTAACTTAATCTCTTGCTTTATGTGACAGGATATTTTCACCTCCCATAGCTTTAGAAACTGTGTTTAAAAAAACAGCCTTCAGAAAGCTATTGAATGCTCAGAGAATACACCGCTTTTGTTATACCATACCAGTTCAAATGCAATGTCAGCACTTTGTTTTCCATTCGTTAAGGAAATATATTAAACTACCACACCAAAAATTTCCTACACAACATTACCTTTTTTTTTCCATCAGCAGTGATTTAAAGCATTAAGTTACTTTTAAAAGCTATTCATCTCCGTAGTAATTATTTGTATTTTACTTTTTACTTGTTCCAGAGGAGTGGAGAGGGAGTAAGCTGGAACTGCCTTGAGCAAGTGGGATGGCACAGGCTAGTGATTCACTGTGGTGGGTGGTGGATCCCCATCAGCCTGGTGTTTTCCTCTTGACCTCAGAGAGGTGAGATTCACACAGAGTAGCCACTTATTTAATAAAAAAGTGCCCCAAACAGTCACAGGCATCATCAAGTCTCATAACAGCACTGCGTGACCTTAAAATGTAAACTTCTCTGAAGCTTCAATGCATTTTTGACAGCATATTTCTTCCCCTTTTAATGCATCATTGACAAAATATAATAAGACATATGGCAGCAGAAACATTAGATTTTATCTTCTTAGGGAAAATCTGATTTTCACTTGGGAAAAGCTGATCTTTTTTTCCTTGGAGGTGAATAATACTGCATGACATTAGTGAGAGGAAAAAAGCCATGAAGACATGGGCAAGTTTGCAAAGCCTATACCAGGACACGTATCACCCAACATTAGCTTAAGAGAGATAATACAGGAAAGCAATGCTTGAGTAGTATCTGAATATCTATGCCAGATTCCTGATTATTTCTCTTACTGTGGTAGAAGCCTTGATGGGCCTGGGAAAAAAAAAAAAGAAATTTGAAGCACTAATAACATCCTCCTGTACTATGTTATATCTTATGACATATTACATTAGTTTTGTATTATATTGAAGTTTACGTTAATTTTATATTAATGTGAAATATGTTTGCCTTTAGCATTCAAATAAAATGTAAGTCTCCTATATAAAAGAATAAACTTAGATATATGGTACTATCTCTATGGGGAAGTCTATGCAAGAGCTCTATAATATTACCCAAATGAACAGCAAGATCCAAGAACAAGTAACATTTTTCAGAATGTGACATCGAAAATGAATTATATGTTGCTCATCATCAAATCTCAGAATCTCAGGGGTCCTGCAATGCCAGAAAGACTGACTTGATTGACTTCCTATAAGGATTCAACATCAGTCATTAAAGGTGTGATTTTACTGCTACAGATGTTTCATTGAAAATATGTGTTTAACAAGACTGTCTTGTCACTTGCTCCCCATTTGACAAGCTACAGCATTCAGAGGGCCTTGGAACAGGGTTGTCTTCAGCTGGCCAGGTTGTGTTTGCAATTATGCTTGAGAAACAAAATAAAATGAAACAAAAAATACACACAAAAGTCCCCAAAAAATAGACCAAAAAAACCTAACCCATCCCAAACCAAACCAAAACCAAAAACCTGTCATAGGTTTGACAATAGATGCTGGAATTTTTTCCTGGTGTTGCTCCCTCTCCCCTCAGTCTGTTTCTTCCAGGATGGGGAGAGTTAGGAGAGGGGCCGCCTCCTTTTTTTTCCCTGAGGGGAAGTTTGTTTTTTTTTTTCCTTTTCCCTGCTGGATACCCCGTGGAGATCGACTGAGAGAGAGACCTGAAGACGCATCTCAGAGCAAGGTAACCTTCCCCTGGGGCTGCATTATCAGCGCCTGAAGTGAAACTGCGCCTGTGGGAAGAAGAACCCTTTCCATGCTGGTTGCTCACATGGCTGCGAGCACCTATTGAGCTGCCGAGGACAATTTACCCTCAGCTCCCAGGTTTGCTGTGGGCTTCTTTCCTCTCTGGGCAATTAGGACTTTGTTTTGTTTCTTTTGAAAGTTTTGGTTGCACCATTTGTTGTTTATTTGAGTTTGTTAATAAGGAGCTGTTCTCTTCCTTTTCCACACTTTCACTTGAAGCCTCTTAATTTCAAAGTTGTAATTTCGTTAAACTTAGACAAAACCTAAATGA